AAAAAAAAAAAAAAAAAAAAAAAACCCAAGGATAAGGAGCACCAGTGTAGCAGCCACCGACCATAGAACCCCGAAACTGAAAACATGACGAGGATTGAGAAGTCCAGATGTGACTCCAATGAAGACTGGTTCATCTTTTGCAGGGGTAACTGAGATATTAACAGGTACTGAGTCAAAACAACCTAAATATTTCCATAATAATTATTTTTTGGTAGAAGTAAAAAGTTTTAAATTTATGTCATATTGTATGTGAGTAGAGTAGATTAAAAAATGAGATAGAATTACCTTATATTGTATAATTCTAAATAATTAAAAAAAAAATTACAGTTCTGACTCTTGGACAATATGCAATAAGGTGAATCATAAACTCAAACCAGATAACATCCAACGTGTCTGCAATTCCTCTAGGCCACGAAAAAGTGACTATTTCCTAGGAGTCGGTCCAACTAATTTTTATTTTCTAGTTAATTTTCTCTGGGACTCTTACAAAACATATCCAAAGCATTGAAAGATGGAGATTACATCAACATTCGAAACAGCATAAGTATACAAAATGATGATAACATTTGATCAAGCAATTTGCAGCTTCAAGGTCACTGTTCCATTGTCTTCTAATTAAATTGCTTCAATTGAATTGATTTCTAGGAACTGAACTGCCTTCTTTACCTGTCCCACGGTGATTGGTACATAAAACACCTCACCTAAAATAGACAAACTCAATATCATGTAAGTTGCATTCACCTTTTAGTTCAATTGTTAATAATCCATCATTGGCATTGTATATAAACTCGTCCCCCTTCATGTCCACCATGCAACACTTTGGTTTAGTGCTCGAGTAGAACCCAAATCGGCCACAGCCTCTTCCTTTGATTTTTATTGTGCATCCTGTGAGTTCCATGATGCAGTCCACGGCTTCTACTGCTCCACCTGAGTAATCCTAGTGGAGCAAATCGGATATTTTGATCAAAAACCTGCTAACACGATTCAAACAACATGCATTAGATTCGATACAGAAAAGAATTAACTATAAATAAGAGTGCAAGGTAAGCAGCTAACTCTTATTGGAGAAATGGTGTATATTTCACTTTTGAGAGTTGCCAAGGACAATTTGATATTTCTTTGCTTTGGTATTATGAAGAGAGATTCTGCAATTAAAAACAATTCAACAGTAAGTTCAGAGATCTTAATTACAAATACAGTCTTGGAGACTGAGATGAGGGAGACAAAAGTTAACCTGAATGGAAGGCATATACTGCACAGTCTTCGTTCCAGTTTTCTCCTGCAATCTCTTCCATGCACTCAACATCAGAGGGACTCACATGGCCTAAAATTGGAGTGGATGGTTTGCTTTCTATGTTTTCAACTACTTGTTTCATTGGCCAACTTCCTGCTCCTTGGCAGTTAAAAACACCGACTACTCCTGATAACTTGTTTAGGTTCCATCAAGGTGGTTAAAATCGAGATTTTAACTAAAATCGTAAAGAAGAGATAACATCGTAAAGAAGAGATAACATTGTAAATCGTAAGATCGTAAATAGGATCGTAAGATCTTAACATATTTTGGTGTTTTTATATAATTAATAAAAATAAATATAAACTATGTAAATATCATAAAATAAATTATTAA